TTTTATCTGGTTTATTGTCTGCAGCACAAGAAGAGAGCACGCCTTGTAACTTTGTTGAGGATCTGGAGATCATGGTTACACCAGGGTCTAGCACAAGGTCGATGCGCAGAGCAACCAAAGAGTACACAAGGGACCAAGATAGCGTGATCCCGACCACTAGTGAGTTGGAGGAGTTTTTTGCCTATGCAGAGCAGCAACAACAGAGGCTATTCATGGAGAAGTAAGCATGTTTTTATTAATATTGTTTTGCGTCATTACGAGAGGATGAACCAACACTCATCTGTTTTTGAAAATCTTCAGGTACAACTTCGACATTGTGAATGAAATCCCCCTCAGCGGACGATACGAATGGGTACAAGTCAATCCATGAAGTTCAAAAGGAAACAGCTCCAAAAGACATGGTGTGAAGTAAAAGAACGTGATGGAATTAACAGACTAACCGAACATCAAAAATCGTGTAATCTTAAGTAATAATGTGGTTAGAAAAACAAGTTTGAAAGTAGCTTAGGGACCTTGAAAACCTCACACCATTTGTACTACTAATCTTCAGATGCTTAGTGAAATTTTCTCATCTGTTTCTTTCAAGTGTTTTTTTTCTATCTCTCCCTCATGTTTTCAAAACTTTATGTAATGATGATGATTGATGGGGATGTGTGTGAACATGTTGAAGCTTGGCATATAGTGAAAAAAAAATGATTTCAGATGCAGAAGAAAGAGACCCAATTGGGAGGTTCACGTGTGAATTTTGGTAGGTGCAAAAATCTGAATCATATCCTTTTCTTTCAAGTGTACAAGATTGGTCCCTTTTCTTTCAAGTGTACAAGATTGGTCCCTTTTCTTCTCTTACCATAATTATGACGCACGTGAATGTGTGTAAATAATTTGACGTATACATTGAAATATTGTAATGTAAGATCAAAGTTAGATCATAACGATGAGTTTTGTAGTAATTAGGAAAACTAGAAGAGTGTTTTGAACTATTGATCCAAAAATATCAAATTATTATTTAACAAGAAACTGACAAAAAGATGAGACAGTGTTCATTGAGAAGATCTGTGTGGTTTAACTTTTAACTTTTTAACGTTACTTGGAAATTGGCAAAACCCATGTGATGAAAACTGTGTAAATCTTATCTCGAACACAATCATTGTTCTTTGTTTTTCTTTAATCTCTCAAAGTGAAAAAAGTGAATGCATGAAACGTTAACACACATACATGAATACATGCATACATACATACACATTGACATGGTGATGTGTGTGATGTATGTACACGGGTTCTTGTTTGATCACGGGCTCACTGACTAAAAAAATCATGTTTTTGGGACACATAGATTCGCTTACATCAACTGTGTGACCAATGGAGTATCTGAATTCAGCTTGTTTCAATGTTTTGTTTGACTCTTTTTAACTATTTGGTAGAGTAAAGCCAAAAAAGGAGGAGCACTGATTACGAAAGCCTTTTGTCTTTTTGTTTCTTCTTCTCTAGCTCTCTTTCGTTCTCTTTTTGGCTTAGATCATCTCCAATGTAAATCTCTATTTTTTCCTCTAAAATAGAGTAACTTTAAAATAGAGCATGATTTCTCTCCAATGTATCACTCTATATGTTACTCTAAAATAGAGGTAGTGTAAAAAAAAATAGAGTTACTCTATATATAGAGCAATCCTATCATTTACTCTATTTTAGAGTAACATATAGAGTACAATTGGAGAAAATATACTCTATAATAGAGTTTTAGAGGAAAACATAGAGTGGGGTTGGAGATGCTCTTAACCCTTCAAAATCAGTGTTTTTAACTTGTTATGTGTAGTTTCTCTCTCTCGTTGAACACCAACCATAGGCCTTACAATGTGAGCCACCAAAGCATGCATTGAATTTCAACCCGAGGACAAAGCCTCATGGATTTCGACTCTCGAAAACACGGTTTTGCAGTCCGAAATCAGTTCGGTTTGGTTCGGTTCTACTTAATTATTTTACAAAGCACGAATCAAACTTATCGTCATTTGAAACTCGATATCAAAAGTAAGCATAAAGAATAAACTCAATAATTCAAACAAAATTAACAGCTAAGAGTTCTCTTGTGCATTTGGCGATTAGAATTCGTGAGTCTAGTAGATACTAAATTTAAGATATATAAATGAAATAATACTAGTTTTATTGGACAAAGCATTGCAAATTGCAATTTTTTGCGAGGTATATTATATTATTAAGGGGTGATTTTCCTACTTCCATCAAAATATTCAGTTCTAAGATCAGATTAAGGTAGTTTTCTATAAATTCATTTTAAACTACGTCTAGGAGGTTCACATAGAGAAATATTTTTTCAAGAAGATGATTGATCACTCGATCAAGAAACAAGATTCATGTTCCCCATAAATATAAAATGTAAAGAGTCACACACGCGAGGGCTCTCCCTTATCAAAATATACGACCCTGAATAATTCTCCCTATCATATCTAGCTATCAGAGGGTTCCAACCTCAAAAAAAAAACTCTCTTTCTCTTCATCAATTCTTTCTAAACTCATAACCCAACAAAATGGGCTTATAATGATATTAAATTTAGTGTTTAACCAGGGGCGGCCCTGAAATTTTGGGCCGAAGCAAATTTTTTGGGTTTTTAAATAGTTTGTTAAACATATAGACAAATTATAAAAACTTTATAGAACTTATGACCTTTTTTGCAATATGATATAAATTTGGGGCCTATTCTATATATTAAAAAAATCTGAATTTTTTTAGGGATTCTAAACCCATGTTTCATCTTACTGGGCTCAGGCCAGTCATGCGAATAACTAAACTCAATCAATTTGTCCCTTTTTAACTTAAGCGTTAGAAAATGTTTAGGAGAACACCCCAATTTTTCCCACCCATAAATCATCATGCCCCATATTGTTAGTTCATGAAAAAAAACTATCGACGACTCAACTGAATGATAGAACCTGGTTAAAATAATCTGAATGAACAAATGAGATTAGCATAAGAAATTTGAGTGAATAGAAGAGATGAATGCACCATTCAAAATCAGCTGAATTTTTTGGGGGTTTTTTAGATAAATTTTATACTCATTCAATATTTCAATGGATACATCTAACTGATCCGTTAAACTACCTCTAAACGAATATCATTCGTCATCTACATTCAAATAGACCATTAAGCTGAGGAAAAGAATATCACCTAAGAGGACAAAACTATTAGAATATGGGCTTCCAACTCAAAACCAATTGGCAATGAGTGGAGTGGCCCAAATCCCTTATATATTACTTAGGATCCCTTCCAACTTCCGATGTGGGACATTATGTCCTAATACGCCCCCTCGAGATGATGGCTCTTTGGCCATTAATCTCGGAATGTTCGGGCTTAGATCGACGGCATCAATTTTGGACCTTGTCGATGATTGGACCATCTTTGGGTCGGATCGGGTTGGACATGTGTGGATCGGGCTCTGATACCATGTTAGAATATGGGCTTCCAACTCAAAACCAATTGGCAATGAGTGGAGAGGCCCATATATCTTATATACTAGTCAAGATCCCTTGTCCTTTCCAATGTGGGATAATAATATCCCTAATACGCCCTCTCGAGATGATGACTCTAGCCATTGATCTCGGTATGCTCGGACATGGATTGGCGGGCCAAATATTGGGCCGGGCCGATGGTGGATTGGATTTGGACATGTACGGATCGGGCTCTGCTACCATATTAGAATATGGGCTTCCAACTCAAAACCAATTGGCAATGAGTGGAGTGGCCCATATCCCTTATATATTACTTAGGATCCCTTCAAACTTCCGATGTGGGACATTATGTCCTAATAAAAACCACCCAAACGGCCAAACCTTTGGATTTTGGCTAAATTAATGCTAAAATCGGTTAACCTAAAAACTTAACATTATTTTAGTCTAAACATCGATCAAAAACGTTTAAAGTGACCATTTCATGTATTTATAAAAAAAATTCTATAAATGAACATACAAAATTTTTTTTAATGAATTTATAAATAGTTTTAATTTTCACATGAATTAAATATATTAAAAATAAGGTGATATTAGAAACTAGCCAAATTTTACAAGAAAATTAAGTAACTAGCCATGCGTCAGAAAAGTTGGGTAAATAACTCTTTTTGTGGTGGGGTAGGGGTATGGAAAAGACCAATTAACCTTTTGAATATATAGTTTTTACAAGATAATATATTTGTTTGTAAGTGGTGGTAGAGATCCGGTGAAAAAATAGATCTAGCGGTGGAAATGATACGGTGGTCTTGGTCGTCATGAAGAAATTGGTTATAGAGGAGGTGATGGTGGTTTCGCAGGAAGCGGTGGTGGTGGAAGATTTGGAAACAAAAAAATAGATCCGATGGTGGAAGGGATACAGTGGATATGGTGGTCGTGAAGGATGTGGTTATGGAGAAAGTGTAGTGGCCGCGGTGTAAACGGTGCTAGTGAAAGATTTGGGAAGAAGGTGGAAGAAACACCATAGTGGTTTAAAGAAAATAGATAAAGATATAGATTTGATGGGAAAAGAGAACACAGATAGGTCCGACAATGGAGATTCGAAAAGAAGATTGTGAAATTTTTAAAAAATATCGTGAAACATAGAGAAATTACATGAATTTATCATGTAAATGGCATGTAACATGAATAAAAATATGATTGCTTAAAGTAAATAAAATTAGCATGTGATATTATCATTTGTTGGAAAAAAACATCATGTCATTTTTAAACATATCATGACATCTCGAAAAACATAACGTTCGTAGTATAATTGCTTGAAGTAATTAGAAATAGCATGTGATATTATCATTTGTTGGAAAATATATCATGTCGTTTTTAAAAATAGCATGACATTCGAAAAATATAATATGTTAATAAAAAATAGCACGAGGAGGTAATTAAGCAATAACAGAAGTGTATAAAAGCGGAGAAAATCTGGGATTTCAAAACAGCGGATAATATTTAGAAATAGTGATTCAACATTGGCGTTTTGAAACATATGAGCATGATTCGATTCTGCGGAAATGACGTTGTTATTAGTGGTGAAATTTCCTATTGAACAAAAAATAATGAGATATATTTTAACTTAGCTGAAAAAGATTGATTATGGGTTCGAGCATTATCGAAGCAAAGAAGATGAAGGTGAAGAGAGAGTGGCGGCAGAAGAGGGATTTAGAGAGAAGCCAAAATGAGGAGAGAAGAATGAAGAAATAATTTTTAAAGGTTGTACATATAATTTACTTACCCTTCCCCATAAGAAACTATTTATCATGGTTAGTTTCTTTATTTTTTTTTGTTTTCATGGCTAGTTAGTGCATATTCTCTTAAAAATAAGTAAGAAAACGGAATCTTTGATTAATTGATGATTATTGGCCACTGATTAATTTGCCGAACCAACATAGCGGTTGGTAAAAAGATCCCAAATCAGAGATTCCCAATTAATAAATAATAATACTCTTCCTCTTCTCAACTCTCACCACTCACCAGAAAAAAAACCTTCTTCAGATCATCATCGGCGATGGGCGGAGACGGCAAAGTTTTCACCTTGGCCGAAGTTTCTCAGCACAGTAGCTCCCAAGATTGTTGGATCGTCATCGACGGCAAGGTCCTATCTCCGATCTCTATTTCTCATTCGTTTTCCCTTAGATTTTATGATCCGATTTTGTATCTAATCTTCGTGAGATCCGAAATTCTGAAGTTGTGTTAACTCAGATTTATGAATCTTGAGTTATGTGGTAATAATTTTGTGGATAGATCTGATTTAATTTGCGAGATTTATGTTAGTTTACTCTTTGCTAGATTCTTATTTGAATGTGATTGTTGGTGATGCTTAAGAAGCCACTTCTATGGTCTCTTTTTGATCTTGTATCTGTGGTTAAAGCTAGTAGTGGTGAGGTTCATGTATGTTTTGATGTGTGAAAATTTGAAAACCCACTTGATTTCTGTCTTTGATACATGAGATTTGTGTTTGTTTGCTATGTCTAAATCACAGAGAATTGCTAAAAACTTAGTCTTTGTAATTGAATGTGATAGCTGGTGCTGCTTAAGAAGCCATTTCATGTATTTGTATGATCTTGTATCTGTGGGTAAATCTAGTGAGCTAGTGAGGTTCTTGTATGTTTGATGTGTGAAACTTTGAAAACCCTCTTGGTTTAGTGATCTATAATGACAAAGTTTACATTTTTTGTGTGTGTTTCGTTTTGATGGTTATATATAGGTTTATGATGTGACAAAGTTCTTGGATGATCATCCTGGTGGTGATGAGGTTATCTTGACTTCTACAGGTAACATAAAGATTACTTTTTTGGTTTGTTAGTTCATGTTTATGTTTACAAGAATGTGTTGGTATTCAGGGAAAGATGCGACCGATGATTTCGAGGGGTTCGCGGGA